ATATATATATATATCATATCTCTGTACCCTTTTTTTTTTTTTTTTTTTTTCAGTGAACACCTATTTTGAAATATTGCAGTGTTTACATTAAAGTAATATTTTATATGACTTGCACATAGCTTCCTCTTCTTCTTCTTTTTTTCTTTCTATTAAGTGAGAGGTTTGTGGATTAGCCACAGGAGCAGGATAGATTCTTATACAGTAATCCTGCTTAACAGCTGTTTGAAAGACAATATCCACCACATTGGTAGTGCATTACTTTCAAGGCCTACTAATGCTAGTGCACTGTGGAAATTAATGTTTTAAGCATTGGTGCGTTGCAGTAGCATGGATGGTGAAGAACACCTCAACGCACCTTCCCAGCGCACCTACATTGCAGGACACCATGGCATTGTGCTACAGTGCATTTCACTGTGCTAGCCAAACTTGGTGCATGGGCAGTTTTTTAACCTCTGTGGTCCATTGGCAGCATAATGAGATGAACCGAGCTCCACAGCTGCCATCATTATCTTTTGCTTCTCTTAAGGTGCCCATACACTGCACGATTATCGTACGATAATCGTATGCGATCGGTTTTTCGTACGATAATCGAGCAGTGTGAACGGAGACGTGCGACCGTTTCTACTGTACGGTCGCACGTCTTCTGTCGAACCAGCATGTTCGAAAACCAGCCGGGAATCGTACGATTCTCGGCTGGTTAGAACGGTGCTCGGAAGATAAATGCTGAACGGGCCGGTGTGCGCACGCGCACACTGCCCTTTCAGCATTGCGTTCATCGGAAGCCCGCCCCTCAGGAGGGCGGGCTTGCGATGATCGAGAGTGCGATCTGCCTGTCCAAGATAGGCAGATCGTACGTTTTTTTAATCCCTTTACAACCATCGCAAGACTAAAGTCTTGCGATGGTTGTAGAGTGTATGGCCACCTTTCGTGTTGTGTTGCTAACTAAGCATGCAGTCAGCAAAGTCAGAATTTCCAAGCTACATGCATGCATACAGAGTGAAATAATTTAATTGCTTGTAAAAGAGCCTTCATTTGAAAGCACAATTTTAGCAGAGGTTATCATTAAAAATACTTTTGCAACTATTGGCTGATACTGAAGAAAATGTGAATTTACTTTTGCAATATCACCTTTCAATTTGTCTTAGTAGTCAACCCTTGTATTTTGTGTTTTTCAGGTTAGAAAAGGAGTACACTACAATAAAGACAAAGGAAATGGAGGAACAAGTTGAGATTAAGGTATGCGGTCTATGAAGTAGATCGGGGGTATAACTATAGCCATAGCAAACCATGCAGCTTCTAGGGGCCCAGCACTGTCTGGTTGCATAATCATATTCATCTTCGGATGGGAGCGTGCGGCAGAGACGCCGGTATGGTGATTTTTTTTGTTTTGTTTTTTACCCTTTTTTGTAATTTTTTTTTTGCAATGTTTTTGCATAGATCTACTGCTTGCTAGCAGTAGATCAATGCAAGAACATGCAAGGCTTTAATTATCCTTTAAGTTTCCTGGAGTACAGAGCTCTCAGCACTTCTCTTTGTGTGGAGACAGAAGCTAAGTATTTAGAATTGAGCAGTTGAACCCTGAGGGATTACATTAACAGGAATTAATGAGAGGCCATTTATTGTAACATACCTCCAGACTCTGAACGTGCTGTTTTAATTGGTGAATTGTATATCCAGGTACAGCTATTGAGAGCAGATTCTAAGATCTCTCCCCAAATACTTTTGGAGCCTATTTACACCTTTTCATTCCCCCCCCTTTTTTATTGAGCTTAGTTAAAGCATACAACATATGTCGGGTAGTACAAAACTGGGTTACAAAGCACATACGTGCGTAACATGCACGATATTGAAGTTTGAGTGGACAAATTATAAGGTGTGTGCTCGGACAATGGTCCGACATGTGTGAAAACGTAGTGTAAAACTGACAACGTCGACAACCCAGCATACAAAGGTAGGCTTGTGGCGAAGCTTGTGCTTCTGGGGGAGACTTGGTAACTGAAGTTGAATATCGGTAAGTATTGAATTGATAGCAAGAAGGGAAAGCAAGCCAGGAGTGACAGAGTAAAAGACACTGGGCATGAAGTATGGAAAAGTAGGAGGGCAAAAGAGGGGGAAACATCAAAGGGGAGGGAGCGACGACCTCAAGATAAATGGGGAATAGTTGCCGATGTCTCATGCTAGTTGAAAGATGTTGGGGTCCATGTCTGGAAGTGCAAGTTCGCACCACGGTGGCCAAACCTTCTTAAATTTGGCGTAGGAGTCCGATAGTATGCTAGACAATTGTTCATTGATAAAGAAACCCTGCATACGTTGTTTGAATTCCCCGAAGGGTATCATCTGTTTTTTCAGTGAATGGGCTATTGTTTGCTTTGCGGCTAAGAAGACAAAATCTACTTTCTTTTGGAAACGGTGGAGTTGTGGAATCCTGAGATGCAGTAGGGCATGCCAGGGGTCTCTGCGAATCATAATGCCAAATACGGAGGAGATAAGTCTACAGACCATCGACCAGAATCTGATTGCAGAAGGACAGGACCACCATATATGCATAACATTACCTTCTGAAGTGCAACCTCGAAAAGCAATTTTTGGGATAGGACGGGAGGGCACGAGCTATTCTGGCAGGAACTAGGTACCATCTTAGAAGAACTTTATATGCTGATTCTTGGGACAGGATCTTCTTCCTTGCAAAAGAAACTGAACATTACTTCTAAAATGTAGTTGTTGGATTGAAAACATCTGATTTTGCTTGTTCTGTCTTGCAGAGGTTACGCACAGAGAACAGACTTTTGAAGCAACGTATTGAAACCTTGGAGAAGGTATGATATTTAAAGCTTTCTTCCTAGTTATATGTTAAATTGGCTTTTTATAAGTTTGTAGTGCTTTGGATTAAACAAATGAAATTGTTCCTGTCATGTATGCTAGAGGCTGCCATGATTTGATACCAATATTCAGCTTGATATTTTCTAGTGACTGCTGTGCATTTTTCAGGTGTTCTGACTTGCTGCATTTTTGGACATACCGGTATATTGTATCAACCAAAAACATACCAGCCCTTTTGGAGTGTATTGGTGACAGGTGAACTTCAGTTTAGTTTTACAGTGACAGTACTTCAAGTGACTTGTCTCAGGTTTAGGGCTAATTTCACAAACTTTGCTTCCTCAATGGATACCACCATTATTATTTTGGCATTCGTGTTTAAAGGAGAACTATGGGGTTAAGGCTTTTTCCCATAGTTCTCCTTAGGGTAACGGGAGGACACAAACTAGCGTCCTCCGTCACCCTAAGCTCAGTATAGCTCGCGGTATACTGAGACGCCACAGTACACCGCAAGCTACTGCTCGCGGTATACTGAGACGCTGAAGCGGATCCCGACAATTATGTCTGGATCTGCCCAGCTGCGCGAGTGACAGCTGGCTCTGCCTATCTAGAGGCAGAGCCAGCTGTACCCGCCCCCTCCCCCGTCCGATCTGCCAGTCAGCACTGGCGAATCGGAGGGGGGAATCCAGCCCCTCCCCTGTCACGGCAGAGAGCTGTGACAGGATCGAGAGGTGAGCGAACGCTCGTATGTGTTCGCTCACTTCTCGATCTACTGAGCCGACCTGTGACAGTCTCATTGTCACAGGTTGGCTAGAACTATGAGGTGAGTGAAAAGCACTCACCTCATAGTTCTCTAAGTATACAATATGTCATTGGGTCTATTTACACATATGTGTTTTTTCCCCTAATTAGTTTTCCATTGAAATCAATGGAAGCAAATGTTGATGTGCGTTGCAGTGCAGTTTTCTTTTACTGAATATCAAAACGCATCATAATGCACATCAAGTTGGCTTGTCTTTTCTTGTAATACATTGTCATGCATCATGATGTGTTGTCATGCAAAAAAAAAATCCATCAAGGTTTAGAAGCATTGTCAGGTTTCTGTTACTGCATTCACTTCCTGTTGTGTCGAAACTAAATCTCACAGGTTTGCTTTATCTAGTATCTGTATGCTGTTTGATTACAATTTTTATAATGTGTTGTGCCTAGGCTTTGGAGCTATAAAAAACATGCAGTTTTAAATGTTGCTCCTATCTACGTAAATATCTGCTCATTTCATCCATGAGCATAAATAGGGTCAATTACAAATGTGGGAACATATTTAATTTGGCAGCATCTCATAGCGTGTTACTCATATGAACCCTTTTAGAATGTAAATACTTTCTAAAATTACATGGGAAGGAATGAATTGTGCACAGTACGATGTACTTATTTAACGTGTGTAAATATGCATTTAATCACCCCCTCCTTTTTATTAATGAATTAACTTAGAGCTTTTCAGTGAAATGGCGATGGTTTGTCAGCAGAGCTTAACAATGTTTGAAACGGACACAGAAAACATTTTTGCAGCCCCTTGGTTGAGGAGAATACTGGCATTGCACAAGTAAATAAAAGATGTTGCTAATGAATAAACAGGCACGGTTTTTAACTAAAATTATTATTGTAATTTAAAACTAAACTAAAGGGCTTTCCTTTTAGAAGCCGTCATCTAGAGCTACAATTCGGAATTGGCTGTGACTAATAAATAAGCATGAATCTATGGATGAGATAAGAGTACTTTAATCAATATACAAGTCATAATCATCACCCTCTCAACAGATTAGATTTTTTAAGATTATGCGCAATTTTTCACTGTGTTGGTTTCCATAATATTTGTTCATATCAGCCACATTGCAGATATAATTTCTCTAGAAATGTTTACAGATGTTATAGCAGCTAGCTGTTATGGTCAATGGAGGTCGCTCCTAGAGTCTTTATATAAAAGTCTTCGTCTGAAAGCCAAACATGGATTTTTTTTCCATTTGGATGATGGCAGGATGTTGTGAGGTGTGGTTGGTCTGTCAATAAGAAGGCAAGTAGTTGTTCATAGGAAATTCCATTGCATTTTTGGAATGCATTTAAAGGGGAGTTTCATGACTGACATACTGTTGGTTTTAAACCGTTCAGCATTCCCATACTGTATTACCTTTGCTGTTAACTAAATAGATCTATAATGGCTGATATCTAGTAGCATTAGATAGTTATAAAGCTATAAAAAATCAATAGTGATTGTTTACCTCGAAGCAGAAAAAACAGGGTTTTGCATAAATTAGCACCTCAGTCTTATTACCAGGTAGGTGTTCACCTGTGGGTGGAGTATGCAACCCTTTGATGTTTTGAACACCTTTTAGAACATTATTTCAAATTCATGCTTAAAAGAGGAGGCGACTCAAAAGTGAAGATTTGCTATGTTCTAGGGAATGTTTAGAAAGTGTGCCTAAAGCAGAACCCAGAAACATTTTATCTGTTATCTTGAATTCTACAGTAGTGCACTTCCTGGTATGTGAGGGTATCTAGGCACGCCTCCTCTGTCTACACAGATTTGAAACTGTCTCCAAAGCTGACCATTGTGAAGACCTTTTACAGGCCTGTGATTTAAAGCCCATTTCCACCTTTTTGTAAGTGAATAGCCTTTATTGTGGTAATGTAGAGGTGCAGTGATCATACATATGCATCTACATATTCATGACTCGCAGTGCTGGCTTTATAATTTTTTTATGGACTTTTTAATGGGTCTGAGTCCTACAAATTCAAAATTCCCTCCACAGGAAACTCAGTCTGACACTGGGGTTGGATTGTCTTGTACAGGCTGTAAAGCAGCTGACCCCCTTCCTGCGAGTCATTGTAACAAGATTACTGCACACCAGCTCTGCCTCTCTAGGTAACTCTGCACTGTCCAGGGGTTGTTGCCACTATGAATATTAATGAATGTGAGGAGAGAGCTCTGTTTCCACAGAGAAGCTCGTGCACGAGGGAAGCATAGCATTGTGGGAAATGTAGATTTTTATGATCTACATTGTAATTCTTACTGTGCACAGGAGCCTGTACTTTACACAGACTGTCTGCAGAGCACAGAAGCGGATATATCAAAAGGAGCCATTAGGGGATGAAGAGGACAGCTAACAAAAAAAATTAAGTTTCTGTGTACATACAGCAACTGCATATGCCTGGTTCATGTATACTAGGTGTAGGTTGCTGGCATGTTTTTTTATTTAAATACCTCCGCAAAGGGGGAAATGGGCTTTAAGTTCCGATTAGTGAAACAACAACAATCTGCCCCTCTCGCTGCATATTAAAGCAGAATGCCAGCTAAATCTAGTCTTCTGTTTCTGCCCTAGCTTTGCAATATCTCTTCTGATACGTTGTCCAGGTTTAAAAGTCGAGGTTCTTTTGTTAGCTGAACTTCTTCAAGTGAGTTCTATACGCAGAAAGGTCTTAATAGGCGGAAAACCATAAAGTTCACCCAATGGTCAAGATGGGCCTTGCTTTTTTAAATAGTTCGAGCCTGCCCCCCTCACCTCAAATAAGATTTTAGTTCTAGGTGGAATCTAATGAGCTGAGTCATTTGCTAGTACAACAGAAGCAAGTTGTCTCAATCAACATGCCTAGCTCCTTTCAAATTTGGGTGTCCTATTCTTCCTGTTTTGTTTTTTTGGAAACATTTTGAAAGACTTCTGGTGTGTTGGAATTTTCCTTTCTGTTGTCTTGGCATGTTGGAGTGATTACATAATTTGGTGCAGGAATGATTTACCCATAATTTGATTTCCCCTTAATTTTTAGAGACCCATTGCACATTTTATAGTTTTTATTGTTACATTAAATCTAATTTAATTTCCTTATGTGTTGTATTTCTACTGTAATTAAACCAAGCTAGGGGTTCACCACAGATTTGTCATTTGGAAAAATATCTGGAACGTGATCAGAACTGGAGTGGTTATGGTGATTAAAATTGACAGCTTTTATCAGTCGTACATATTTAAATAGGACACCCCTTTAGAAATGATATTGCTATTGACTGAATAGTGGTGGTTTGTGGCTCACACTGACTTCTTAGGGCCCATTCCTACCAGATCTGTTGCGGTACGTTTTTCAATAGATGCTAATGGAAGGGAGCCGAAAAATGAATGGGTGTGAATGGGGCTAGTTCAAACCACTCCATTCTGTTGCCTTACGTTGCGTTGTTCTGAAAACCCCCCAAAATAGAACATGTAATGTGACACAATGGATTCGGTAAGAACTAGCCCCATTCACACCTATTCATTTTTTAGTGCCCTTCTGTTGAAAAACGGATTGCAACGCAATGGATTGGATGGAAATTGGAAGGTATGACTGCAAGTCAGTGGACCCTCTGTTGGCGTTTTTTCCTTCTAATTTTGGTGTGAACAGGCCCTTAAACCTATGTGATTCCATCTGCCAAGTCTGCTTACTACATCTTGTCTGTCCCCCCATTGTGCCTTGTACAATATTTGAGTACATCGCTGATGCTTTATTCTTTAATGTAAAGTAATGAGGAGATACATCAGTAAATATTTCCCCCATTATAACATCCATATAAATATGCAGGGCCGGGAGATTAGTTATAGAAAACCATCGCCTGTGTCCTATTAGAGACCTAAAAAGCTAATGCTGGTTTTCAACCCACCTCAATGTTGCCCATTGTGAGTCATTGTTTTCCAAAGTAGCTCATCCTCTGTTTTCATGCGTTTCTGACATTGATCAGTTTCTCTCCACTTTCATTGTTTAATAGTGTGAAGAATATAAAACTACATTATGGCATCTTAAAACCTGACTTAAGCAAGAAAATATGGGCAAACTATGAAAAATATATTAACCAGTACAAACAGGTTTTTTTTTTTGCAGGAAAGATAAGGTGAATGACTTCTAGGTTTATGCCATCAATAATTTTGCTGTTTTGGAAATACAGTAAGGGAGTTGGATCTTTGAAAACAATAATTTCTGCACTTATTGATCTGTGTTATTGTAGAATCTGTTTTGGGCACAACATTGCCATCCTACCATAGAACTGGTTCTCAGAGGGATTTAGAATGCATTTATGATTCCATGCTATTTATTCCACCCTGCACATGTCAATATGAATTATTTTTTTCTGTCTACGAAATCTTTGCTTTTGCACGACATTCTACGCACTTCCAAATTTCAAAAGGTCTACCTCCTTTGAATCTTCATTCTTTATAAAAACAAAATAAAATCTTTACACCAGCTTTTTGGGTCATATACAAGTTTAACCAATATTAAAATATTACCTAGAAAATTATCAATCTAAATATTTTATGTATCAAAAATGTATCAATTGGCTTTACTCGGCTACTTGAAGCAACACTTGTTAAAACTTCAATCCTAAAAAATATTCTCCCCCCCCCCGCCTCACCCTTTGTAAGTCTTATAATCACTTTCCTATAGAATTGTGACCTTTTTACTGACCCTAAAAAAAAACCACTGGCAGTGAAACCTGTCTGTAGTTGAAATAAAGGAAGAATCCTGATGTGGAACGAGGGTGCAAATCAGAAATGACATAAAAAATGACAAACAGGATGAACAATTATATTGGTAAAAGCGTCTTTATTAAACATTCGGTTGATCTACTTTGCTGTCTTCTAGCATATTCAAAGGAGGTAGGAGAAATGCTGACACTACACACCTGATTATTTTCTTGTCACTTTATTTTTCGTCTGTCTTTTCTGAAATTCTTTCTGAATTTTTCCTCATAGGAAAGTGCATCCTTGGCAGATAGATTGATTCAGGTATTGTCATTACATTTTATCCTCTGTAAAACCTCAAACCCCAGAAGGGACCATATTTAATTTTTTTTCTGCGCTGGGGCGATGCATGCAATATTTTTACATGCATCTAAGTAAACTTCCTTACCCCATCTAATTGTAAATTAGAGTAACCGTGTTAATATTTTAATACAAAATCATGGTGAACTGCACTTTGCCTTTAATTCAATGTTTCTAACCCCCCTTTTTTTTAATTCATATAATAAAACTATTGGTTCAACTAATTAACATTTTTCTGAAATGATCATAAAAACTAACTGCATTGCATGAGCCAAGCTTGATCATTTTGCATGAACTAAACCCAAATTGAAATGACAAATCTCATCTTCATTATGCTTGCTCCATTTTTAGTTGTTGAACAAGCTCCAATAACGCAGTCCAGAATTAATATCTAAGTTTTTAAATGTGAAATCTTCTGAGGAGATTAGTACACAGCTGCTACGTGCGCACACACAGAGGACACCATTTTGTATTTTGACATTCTGTATTTGACTATGCCACAGTGTTTTTGGTAGGAGTTTAAAAAATAATTGATGGACTTCAGTTAAGGTGACACTAAACTCACAAGTTAAATCTTAAAAATGCTTTTAAAGTACCCGAACTAATAACAAAAATGTAGCTTATTTGTGTATCACTGTAGCTCTGAAATCATGCTGACACTGTCCTTCGTTTTGCAGGGTGGCTACCTTTTGCTCCCTGAGTGTGTAAAGTAGCCAAGGCTCCAAGCTCGCTCCCATGATGGGCTATAATCTCACTACCAATTAGTAAACTAAACGTGAGAGTGTTGTCCATCAAAAGAGTGCGCATGGAGCGGTGACTACTTTACAACACGCACAGGAACCATGGGGAACAAAAGTAGCCATCCTCCAGTAGGAAGGACAGCGTCGGCACCAATTCAGAGATGATTTGAGGATCTACAGCCGAGTGATACACAAATAAGATACATTTTTGGTAAATTTCAAAAATGTATTCAAACACCCTAACTTAAAGGAGAACTATGAGGTGAGTGAAAATCACTCATCCTCATAGTTTGAGCCGACGTGTGACAATGAAACTGTCACACGTCGGCTCAATAGATTGGGAAGTGAGCAAACACATAGCGTCGCTCGCTCACTTCTCGATCATCTCCCTGCAGAGAGCAGTGACTGTCAGTCATGGCTCCCAGCAGGACTTCTCCCCTCTCCGATCCTCCAGCGCTGACTGGGGGAACTGATGGGGAGGGGGCGGGTAAAGCTGACTCGACCTGTAGATAGGCAGAGCCAGTTGTCACTCACGCAGCTGTGTGGATCTCCACAGTAATGTCGGGATCCGTACTGGCTGCGGCAGTCTCAGTATACCGCTAACTGTAGCTCACAATATACTGAGCTTTGGGTCACGGGAGGACGCTAGTATGTCCTACTGTAACCCTTAAGAGAACTATGGGGAAAAACACCCCAAAGTTCTCTTAACTCCTGAGTTTAGGGATACTTTAATCTAACCTAGCTAGGAACTTTTTAGAACAACACTGTCCTGCTGTTGGTTGATAACAGACATCCATTTTCTGCCCTCACTGGTTTGTCTAGATGTTTCTTTTACTCATCAAGATTGTATTCTTCCCTTAGTAATGTGAAGACAATCTTGGCTAGGTGACCAAATATTTGCTAAGTTTCATAATCAATCATCAATGGTTTAAGCAACATCGGTCATCTGTGAATGTGTAAAAACGCTGCGTAAATTGTCGAAGCTTTATAAAATACCTGTAATAAATAATACATCTGAGTGTGGGGTGGGTTACTGGCCTCTTCCATGATGCTCAGGCAAAATGGCAGGTTTTTTTTAAGAAGCTGGTATTTTACATTAAAAAGGCAAGATATAACATAATTTTTTTGGGGGGGGGGAATTTAATTTTTAGTTTGTGTTGGCTGGAGAAGGTCATGGCATTCATGTGATGTTCTGCAAAACATCCTGTTGATCCTATCAAACTTCTTTTAAATTGTCCTACAAAATGGCTGCCCCGCTGTGTGTGCTTACGATGCACTTTAAGTGTATGCTTCGCTGTGAGTTAAATGTTTGCATATGCCCTCAGAAGACTATTTATTTATTTTCCTCTGGATTGCTCAAAAACCTTAAAATTATGTCCAAAGGGACAAGTGACAAGGGCCCAGGAGGCAGAGGAAAACTACCTCATAAAACGTGAACTGGCCACCATGAAACAGCAGAGCGATTCTTCCAGCACTGAGCTGGAGCAGGCTCACCATGCCATCAGCGAGCTGCTGCAACAACAGCAATTGGTAAGAAGCCTGGCTGCACTTTATCTAACATGTATTCTTTCTGCAGACCTTGGTGATGATTTAATGTGTGGTGTTTGGAAATGATCGTTCTTCACCTATTGACTAAATCTGTAATAAATGCCGTGCTTATCAATGACTGTAACGCCATGTCAATTTTGTGTTGCATTTTTAGGGCAGGTTCTCTATCCTTGCATCTGCAGGTATATTTGAATTGGTAAGGTAAAAACAGGAAAGAATGAACTCCCTTGAGTCATAATGCAAAATGTGACCCGGGTTTCTATTACATAATCGTGATGCCTATTATACTCACAGACCTCTCACAAGTCTGTAAAACATTGCATGAATGTGTCCATTTGATGAGAAACCGAGACCTGATTTTTATGAAAACATCGCCGGGCCTATTATTATTATTATTATACAGGATTTATATAGCGCCAATAGTTTGCACAGCGCTTTACAATATAAGAGAAGACATTACAGTCACTCCATACTTGTCCACTTTGGCTTTTTGTATTAACGCAGGTTGTCGACTTTTTTTTCACAAACTAGCGTCCTCCCGTCACCCTAAGCTCAGTATACCGCGAGCTACAGCTCGCGGTATACTGAGACGCCGCACCTGGAGCGGATCCCGACTTAGATGACGGGATCCGCCCAGCTGCGTGAGTGACAGCTGGCTCTGCCTATCTAGAGGCAGAGCCAGCTGTACCCGCCCCCTCCCCCGTCCGTTCCGCCAGTCAGCGCTGGCAGATCGGAGCGGGGAGAGGGGAATCCAGCCCCTCCCCCTGTCACGGCAGAGAGCCGTGACAGGATCGAGAGGTGAGGGAACCCGGTATGTTTTCCCTCACCTCCCGATCTACTGAGCCGACCTGTGACAGTCTCACCTCACTCACCTCATAGTTCTCCTTTGAAAGGCACTTCATGACTCTTTCATGTTGGGGTTTAGCACACATATGCATGTGTTAGCACATCACTGCTTATCAATGTTTTGATAATTCCTAATTTCTAGTAAAGAAATGCATGGGAAGAGTCTTTATATTTGATGCCAGGAATGAGTGAGGAGGATTTTGTGACTGGTAAGATGTTCTCTGAAGTCTTTTGGCATTTCTTCCTTATGATTATATGCCGGTGGGGGCTCTTCTTCCTCTCTGCCCCCCCCTCCAACAGGCGGACCACCAGGGCCTGGTCGCAATTGCGACCGCTGCAACACTGGTAGTTCCGCCAGTGCTAACCCCTGAGGAAGCCAGAAGGCACCCTTGTTGAGAGAGGCTGGTGTAGTCAAACAATGGGCAACAGCACTGCACCTGGATTTAGATATAAACAAACCTGGAATGCAGCACTAGACATGTAGGCTCTGATCTGCATGATCATTCATTACTGTATGTATTTGCATTTGGTATATAGAGAAAAAAAATGTGGAGTCTGGGTCAACTTAAAGTGCAACTGAAGATAAACTTTTTTGTTTTGTTTAAATTTTGGATAGAATAGAGAGGGATTAGAATACCTGTCGGGTTTTTATTTCTCTCTACATCTCTATTAGGGAGATTCACCCTATATGTCCTGGTGACCATTCTAACTGAAAATGAAAGAAAATCCCAAATTGTGGGTAGTTAGCACAGCTCAAGCTGGGAGCGATAGACACAGGTTAAAATGCCGGCCATTCAGTTGTGCTACAATCAGGGCCGTATTTACTCTCCCTGCCGCCCCAAGGCCAGGTTCCGCGATACGCCCCCCGCGCGCCGCGAAAACCCGCCCCTTCCCATTAATGGAGAATGGCAACCAGATGGCAGGGCGGCAGGGTTAGTTTCAATTTTTTTTACTGTTTCTTTATTTTTTTTTAGACTTTTTTTTTTATTTTTTCATTTTTATTAATTTTATCAATTTTTTATAGATTTTTATTTATCCTATTTACTTTTTTAAATTTTCTTTTACTATTTATTTATAATTTTCCTATTTTTTACTTTTTAATCACCTTTTTTTCATTTTTTTTTTCCACCTAACTTTATTGCTATCACATAGAAGAAAACAGTCCCCTGTGTGATAGCAATTGGAGGTGACTGTGCTGGAACTCCTGTGACAGGTGAGAGAGGAGGAGCACAGCTCTCCCCTCTCACTGTCTACACTGAGCGGCAGGGTTACCTTTAACCCTGCCGCTCACTGCAGTGAGGAGACTGACTCAGTGGCGGAGGATGAAACCAGAGGAGAGAGGTAAGTGCAGGGGGGAGGAGGCTGCAGACTGTTCACATGTGATCTTGGCGACATCGCCGAGTTCACATGTAAACGAACAATCGGCTGCCTCACTCTACATTTAGTCCTGCTTGTGCAAAACAGGACTGAATGTAGAGAGGGCAACTTCCCCACTAGGACACCGCTGCCGCCTCTCTGCGCCCTGCCACCCCAAGGCCGGGCCTCGTGGCCTTGTGGGGAATCCGGGCCTGGCTACAGTACTCGTGTGCTAACCAGGATCATGCTGAAATGCCATCATCTAATTTTACAACAAAAGTGGAATGCTTCAGTAGGGAAAAGTTGCATCACCCTGAAAACCCGCTTCTAACAGGAGGGAAATGGGAAAATAGAATGTATTTAAGTTTTTTGTTTTTTTCCTTGGAGAAAATCCTTTAATTATAGTGCACTCCTATTCTAGTGGGTGAGCTCATAAAATCTGTTAATCATTAAATATACAGGACATGAATGACGTGTAAGCAGTCATCATGGCTGGATAAATGAATTAGGAGGAACTGGGTTGGTAGGAAGGTCAAGCAACGTATTCAACTTGTGTAATGCAAGATTAGTATCAATTATACATAGGCCAGTCTATGTTACATTGGATGGCCCAGGAAGTGCAATTGAACTACTCAAATGATTTAGAGGTGTTAAATGACATTAGCTATAGCCTTCTCTGGTATCTCTTGTTGTAGATGGAAAAGTAAAACATTTGTACTGTATACTATTATAGCTCAGCCATTTCCTAACCGCAGCCATGTAAATCGGTTATTCCCAGTAAATTAATTGTTGGAATATTGATAGAGAAATAGTAACGCTGATCCCCTCAAGTGTTTAATGTAAAGTCCCAGCATATACTATCTGGTTCTAACATCAGCATTGTAATAGGAATACATAGCAGAGTTGTTTTTGATAATACAAGCAAAGCTTACATGAAAAATCCCTTTTATGTAGTGAGTGTTGCCTTCTGTCTGCCCATCACTTTCAACAACTTCCTGGATACTCAGTGTGCTTTGTGTCTTTACCTGCTGCTTCATGTGATCCAGTTTCTCAAGATTACATATCCCATCATGCATTGCTTCCAGCAAACAATGATAATGTTACATTGTGGGCAGTTTAGACATTGAGTTGTAGTTCAGAAGGCAGGCTCTGTGACAGTGGTGACACAAGAATGTGCATATTCACAGAGTGAAATTGTCAGTGCATTGAGGAAGTACATCCTATGGGCATATTCACTAAGCAAGTTTACAAACTTATAGATCAATCTGGTTATTAGGATTGGGATAGAATTTATGGAAATTCAATATAGGAATACAGATTTAGTTTTTGGACATATATACTGTTTTATTAGAGCAGAACCCAGATTGATGCTGTTTAATGTGGAGCAAGCTGAAGCAGTCCTCCTTGGCAGATTCTCAGATTCTGTTTTTAAAGCAAACGTGTACTGGAGGGAATATGGAAGCTGCCATTGCTGGCCTTCCAAAAATGCAAGATACCGGGCTGTCACACTAATCAATAACACTTTCTAATCTGCATGCTTGTGCAGGTCAGTGACCCAGAAAACTTTGACGCCAAAGACAGGAAAATAAAATTATACTTTTAAAGCAGGGGTAGGTAAACACCGGTCCTCCAGCTGTGGTCATGTTGTTTGTGGCTGTCAGTTTTGCCTCATGGGATTTGTAGTTCCAGAACAGCGCGAAGGCAGCAGTTTGCCTACTTCGGCTGACACAGTCAGCAGCAGCAGGAAGGAAGGTAGTGCGGGGGTTTCCAAGTACTGGCCTGCGGCTGCACGGTCTGCATCTCTGTCAGATGCAGATCACATAGCTGCTCCTGTCAGTGCTGGCAATCACTGGCTCTGAGCTCCAGCTGAAAGGATTGATTAGTAAGGTCTGCACCAGACCTTACTAATCAACTACTGGATCACCAGCAATTGTGCAGGTGATGGGCTCTTTTATTTGATCTGCGGGGAACAATTGGGTGTATTACTCCGTGTGTGTGTGTGTGCACCAGGAACTTGTTTTCTGCAGCAGGAATCCCTAATCTATCGTTTACAAGCGGGAGCGGTCACCCGCTCAAGGTGATGATCAGGTGACAGCCACTGCATGTTAATGACTGCACACTGCATGTGATGGAATTTGATATGATTACATGTGGTTAGGAATCAATCATCTCTGGATTCACGATCAATGGGTCCAGGGATAGTGATTGTTTTCTAACTGCATGTAATCATATATAATATATGCTGTAGCTCAGACTCCGATGCAAGCAGTGGGCTGGCTCTTGGGAGAAGTTCTGCAAATATCAATGCCTTGATGGGTGGATGTCAGTCTGGAGTAGTGGCCATTTCTAGTCAGACTGCCTTTTCATGCAGACTGCTCTAGGTAATGCCCACATGTGATCCTGAGGCTCAATGATTAAATCAACTGAAATCTGATAGAAAAAGTGGGCCCTGGACAGTAAGTCTGGGAAGAAAAGGGCTAGATGATGCTGGACAGGAAATAAGGTGGGCTCTATTTGACTTGCTGCAGCTTCCAAAAAGCTGTGCCAGAGAATTTAGAATAATTGCAGTAGAGGAGCCTCTACTGCCTTGCGAGACTGAAGGGAAGGCCAGAGTTAAGTTTTATATAAATATACAGTCTTTGATTTTTGTAAAAGAATAAGAAGCATTTGCTGTTAAAGGTAAAGTCCATTTTTTGGAAAAAAATTAATCTCTACACTTCTTTGTAAAAGCAAAAAATTGCACTTATTATTTTATTTGCATTGAAGACAGCAAAGCATTTCAAGCGCAATCACTGGATCACAGGTGCAGTGCTCTGACTCCTGCAGAGTCTTTGTCCCGTCCATGTCCATATTGAAGAATGAATGGGCTCTAACCCCTCGTTCACACCTGAACGTTTTGTAGCGCGTTCTACGCTCGACGAACGCTCTACAAAACGCTCAAAAATATAAATCCCATTGTAGTCAATGGTCTCGTTCCCACCTTGGCGTATTTCCGCCCGTCCCTAACGCGCTACAAAATGGCCCACGCCTGAAAAGGTACAGGTACTACTTTGGGCCGTTTTGTTGCGCGTTTCCATTGGGATACAGCCAAGTAGCCTTCGGAAACGCGCGGCGGTAGCGTGACTTTTTTTTACCGCGAATCGCGGTAAAAAAACACGCGACAGACGCACATATGCAATACGCCTAGGTGTGAACGAGACCTTAGTGCGGGAATGTCGCCACCCTTGTATTCCATTGGGAACTACAAGTACCTCTTTGGTGGGAAATTGTGATATTATTATGTTTCAAGTTACACCTAAATAGTGCAGTGTGTAAATAATCATTTTTGCTGTAGTGTGCATTTAATTTGAATATCTTCAACAAACACACTCTTGTGTACACCAGCGTTGTCCTTCGTGTTCTTAAAGCCCATCACCTGAGGATGTACCACATACTTCCAACTGCTGTGTGGAGCTGATGCCTCCTGGTATATGTGAAGTGGATATTTCGGGAGCAGGGTACACATTATTCTCGCCTAAGTGAGAATGGAGGTAGGGTGGAGTCTGAATTAACAAAAAAAATATTTTTAGGTTGCAGTGGTGCAAAGCGCTTTTGTTTTTGTGTGAAGGTTTGATTTCAGGTGAAGTAAGTGGATGTTATGTATAACACTGTGTGTTTGGACAGCATTTACATGCTATTGACTGGTTTTACTTGGTGCTCCATATTAATTTTCAACCTAAAAGGCAAAATATTTAGTTTTAGTTTTATCACACTTTCACTTGTGTTTTAATTTCTAATAAGTAATTATTGTGCCTGTGAAGCTAGCCACTTATGTTGGCACTGTATTGTTTATCATGTTTTCTTGTCTTCATTGTTCATGTTAATAAAAATATAATTCATAAAATATCATTCTTTATAGATCTTTAGCCTTAAAGCTTGCTTCAATGTTACTTGATGTGCATGTACTAGACACAAAAGAAACCTGTTTAATTTGTCAGAGATTCCATTCAAATTGCAGGTCTAGAGGCAATCTTTAAGGGCTTTTCAAGCAAAATTAGTTAACTCGCTGACGAGATCTCATGTTCTGATGAATGATTTTGAAGGAATGTCCTAACAGTGTGTCCAGCTTTACTTTACTACTACATTGTTGTGTTTCTGTAAAGTGTCCAAAGAAAAGATTGTTCGGTAAGGCCTGGTTCACACCTGGACTTTTTACAGCGCGTTCCTACGCTCTGTAAAACGCCCAACATGTGAAAAGCAATGATTGCCTATGGGCATGGTTCCCACCTGGAACGTAGGAACGCGCTGCAAAACGCCCTACGCCCATAGAAGTACAGGAGCTACTTTGGGGCGTAATTGCCGCGCGTATCCATTGGGATACAGCCATGTAGCCCTCGGAAACGCGCGTTTGTTGCACGTTTTTTTTACCAAGAATCGCGGTAAAAACGCGTGACACGAAACGCGCGACAAACGCGCATATTCGATACGCCTAGGTGTGAATCCAGCCTTAACTGATAAAATGTAGCAGGTTGGTTGACGTGACAATATTTCCCTGTCCAGTTTGTTTAAAGACTGCCAACAACAATGAGCATTTGTAATAATCTGAATCTCCTGTCCGTAAGGAGGAACTTTACCCTTATCTTCAAAATGAAAACAAAGGCACCTTTTAGTAATAACAATCTACAAACAGATACTTCTAGATAATTACAAGCTTTGTTTTCTTTGCATACCTTATACTTCTCTTCCTCCCCATTCTTCTTAGTGGCCATTTTTACTAAGGGCAGATGAATCCATCCCCCTTTACTTCCTGGAACCTCTGGCACACGTGACCATGCATATCATCTCAGGGGAGGAAAATGCCTTTCCCTGACAACTCATGAGATTAGGATGCAATGCTTGGGCATGATTACATAATTTGTGCCATGTGGACCAGGCAGTAGAAAGTCAATAATTGTAAGTCAAAGAAAAATGTTTTTTTTTTTTTTTTAAATGAATGAATGTAAGATGATTTCATATCAGCATGCAGAGTTGAATGCTGATGTGATTTTGAGTGAAAGGTCGGTAAAGGTCCACTTTAAAGCAAACATAAATTCATAATTTAAAGGAGAATTATGAGGTGAGTGAAAAACGCTCATCCCCATAATTCAAACAGATCTGTAACAAAAGCTGTCTCAGGTAGGCTCTATTGATCAGGTAGTGAACACATACCGTCGCTCGCTCACTTCTTGTTTACACATACCGTTGCTCACTCACTTTCTCTTTGCCACCGGGACTCTGTTTAAACTTGTGGACTTTACAGTAGAATCGATTTTCTGGCGGCTCAGCGTCCGCCAGATCGCTTCTATGGGCCGGTGAGCGGGTGTTTGGTCTTTTGGACCCCCAGCATCCTCTTAACGAGTACCTGTCACCACCATCTGCTATCACATGGGGGGCTTGTAAGCCCACTTATGTGATAGCAATTAAAGTAAAAAAAAAAAACTGTTATAAAATAAATGTAAAAATAATAAATTTTTTTTAAAGTCCCCACGCCCGCAAGCACGCGCGTCTTCACATAAACACGCATCGGGTGCGCCTACATATGAAACGACAAACATGCTACACATGTTGGGTATCGCCGCACAGCCGGAGTGAGAGCAATCATTTTAGGGCCAGTGTTTTTGGGTATCTTTTAAGAGTCATCTGACATTTTTGGGGTACTGAATTTTGTCGCCGTTTCATGGACGCACTCCGTCCGATGCTGGGGTCCCTTAAAAATTTCCTTGGCCAAAAAGTGGTCAGGAGAAAGTTTAAGAAGGCCTGCTCTAGACACTAGAGGTAACTAAGCTGAGCCCAGCAAATGGTAACAAAAATTGGTGTTGCGTATGATGTTACGCTGTGGCATGAGGATTAAATTAAAGGAAGTTCCAAGCTTTTGTTAATTGACCGCTTATTTTCCAACAGGTTCCTAGGTTCCCAGAATGTGATGATATTGGTCATCCTTCCTCTGTTTCTTACAATTTGATGCTGAGGAGACCTCTCTGTTCTGTAGGGAGATAATGCAAGTGAATAACAGCACACACAGCTCTGTCCTTGAGGGATAAGGCTACCCATTTATAGCTGCTCTTTCAGCTTTTTACAAATGTTCATTATTGACCAGTTCTCTTTTAATGGCTTATTGGTAGAGATCTTTCACTGAAACCTAAAGCAAGAAGATTATCTTTGTGTTTTTCCACAGCATAAATGTAATCCTCGCTACTCTGAAGAGTTTGTTCTACAACTGGAGAAAGAGCTGGTTCACGCAAGACTGAAAGAAGCCGAATCTCACTGTGCTATGAAGGAAATGCAAGACAAAATTTTGGAGATCGAAAAGGTGATGCCTATTCACAGATTGATTTATTTGGGGATCCCGCTTCCCAATGCAGTAGCTGAAACTGTTTATAATGTATTGTAATTATGTTTGTTATATCTCTATTGGTAATCGACTCACTAAAGTATGGAAGCTAAAGTGCCAACATGGCAGCTAGAGTTTTCAGTGGGTGCTTCAGAGAGTTGGCAGTGGGTGCTTCAATGTTGCTTTTAAAGGTTTACTATTTTGCAATGTCCTAAGAAGGATACCTGCTACAGTTCACCCTGTCATTATTATAAAAAAAAAACAACAAAAAAACAATTTGTCACAGGGATTACATTAGTCTGCCATGTTTTCTGTGGCAGGGTTTGGTGAACTATAAACATGTTAGAAAATGAACTGCCTAGCACCAAGAAGAGAAATGGAGGGAGAAAAGAAAAAAGTATGACAAACATATTTTTTTTTTTTTTTTGAGTTTTGGATAGAGTGGGATTGATTAAGACCCCTTTTTGGGGCCTTTCATCTGGGGCTCTGTTGAAGTGATTTCTCCTCCCTTCCCTTCACCTAACAGCGACTTCAGCTGACAGGAAGCTAGGGAAAACCCTGCATCAGGGGCGCAGAAGTAAAAATGTTTATTAGTAATGTAGGAAAAAGCTAGAACCCCTATTAGGTTTGCAGGCTGTCTGTATCTGTATTGTAGATATGATTGAAATATCATCACGCACCCACCTCACCCCTCTGGGTCCACCCACCCACACACCCCACCCCCCCTGGGTCCACACACAGATTGAATTCTAGCTGATTCAGCAGAAAATGACCAACATTCGATCTCTGTATGTCTAGTTTTAGACTGTAAGCTGCATGGGCAGAGATATGTGTGTAGCCAAGTAAGGGCAGTATGAACCAGTGATAAGACTACAAATCCCATGAGGCATTGCAGGACTCTGGCAGCCACAGGGATGACTTCCAGAGGCAAATGCACGATGAGATTTTGTAGTTTCACCACAGCTGGAGGGCCGAAGTTTGACTACCCCTGTTCTATAGGATAACAGCTGTAAATGCATTAGTAGATCACTGATTATTTTACAGTTCTTCACATTTTTTTTATACGACAGAAAAACAGCTCATTCCCTGATGAGAACAACATTGCAAGACTTCAAGAGGAGCTCATCGCGGTGAAGTTAAGCGAGGCAGAAGCTGTCATGGCTTTGAAAGCGCAAAAGCAGCAGATAAGGGATCTGGAAGATCACTGGCAGGTATGTGCTCTAGCAACCTATAGAAAGCTGGGTACCCTGTATCCAGTGCTCTGTTTTTTAATCCTTGTCATTCAGATTGCAGACCTAGTCTTGGATCAAGCCAGCTGGCACTCTCCTGTGCATTTCTGTATTTCTAATTCCTTTGTTAATTTAACAATCACTATGGCCGTACATTACATTTTAAGACTCCAAATGCGTAATGCTTAATTGACTAATGGTTCTTTACTATGGAACCTGTAGGGTAGTGCCATGGAGAAATGGAACCCCTTTGACCCTATACCACAGTTTTCAGCACAGCCTCATGGCCTTGGGGTGTGTGACATTTTGCATTCATTTGAGCATAGCAAAGGCCTTTAATGTTTATGGGGCAAAAAAATCATAACACTTTATGAACAGCTTTCCCTGCATTAGTGATTTGTTTGTACAGAATTATTGTGATATGCTAGGCGGCTCTGCAACTGGGCAAGGTTTTTCAAAGTTCATTCATGTTCTTTATTGCTTGTGTTTTAAACAAAATGAGTAAGCTAAGCACTTTGGCTGGAAATGTCATAGTACATGGTCAGCCTTATTGTACAATTGACTAATAGATATTTTCATACCAGTAGTAGGGTAACCTAGGGGGACTTGCTGTCCTGATATCTGTTTAGCCCTCCAGACAAATAATATACAATTATCATTTTAGGCTTTATCACTTTGTTTATTCAGGGCAAATTGTTATTGCCTGCATATATGCCCACCAGGCGTATATACTTATCCAGCCACGTTAACCTTGCCACTTTCTAATGGAGCAGATCTTCTGAGTATAGGAAAGCACATGACCACTTATGTGACAGTGGTTGGGCTGTAGTGGCCGATTACCAGGCCCAAACAATGTCATCTGTATAGGGAAGGTTGTAAATTGACGTCATCCTTCTGTCAACACAGTTTAAACATGCAAGGATGCTACAACAGGGAGGCACGAGGGCGTGTGGCTGGTTAAGTATGCATGCCATGGGGTGTGAGCTATATTTGGGCAGAGTGGCACTATCTGTTCTTTCATCATTTTTGTTTATTTTGTTTTGGGGTGTCATTTGAAAAGCTGTTGTATGCAAGAAGCAATAGCACCTAACTTGTACCATCTGCTGGTATTCCAATTCTAGAGACATTTAGCCCGCACCGCAGGTCGGTGGAAAGATCCTCCCAAAAAGAACACTATAAATGAGCTACAAGATGAATTGATGAGCGTACGTCTAAGGGAAGCAGAAAGGCAAGCCGATTTACGAGAAATGAAGCAGCGGATGATGGAGTTGGACACACAGGTATGCGGACATGTTTTGTATCATTCTAAAAATATTAGGTGTAGAGAAATCATCAGGATTGAAGCCCGGGAGCTGCCTTTGCTAGCTTTTTTGCATATTTCAGTCTTTAACATGTTACAAGTATGTAACCAGTTGGAAGGCTTGACAGGTAACTGATACAACAAATAATGAATTAAGGGCAACTATCACAACCGCATAGCTTGCCCCTAATCTTGGCTCTGATATTTTATTCTTGCTGGGTTTTTTTTTTCCTCCCTTATTTTGAAACAGAGTTACCAGGGAATGTTTAGAAGCCCTGTCAAGTGTTTTGTTTGTGCCCTCGTGGAAGGGATTTCCTATGTTTTTGACTGTGTAACCACTGGAACTAGGACAACAAGTGATGGGAAATCTGTTTAGCAAAGCACAGACAATAAATAGAGGTCCTAGCTTGTCCCCATGATACGTTTGAAGAAGAAAAAAAAAAACAATTAGGCAGAATTACAATTGAAAGTATAGGTGTACATTTTCTTAAATTAATCTCCCCCAGTGCAGGAGTCTAGTTTTTCAAATAACCTCCTAGATGTCAGTAGTGCTCAGGGCTTTGCAAAAAAACAAAAGTGTGTTTTTTATATTTTTAAAATGTTAACCAATTAGCCTCATATCTTGTTCTGTTTTGTATTTATCGGATTTCTTGCTTTTGGTAAAGTCTTGCACCAATGGAAACTTTTTTTGTTGTTTTGTTGATATAGGCAAGATAGTAACAATTTGATAATAGATTAACCGGGAAATGAGTAGATTTTTAAAAATATACTTTTATGTATTTTTTAGATGTTTCTTATGTATCTGTGATTACAATCATATCAGTGAAGCAGATTTTATGCACTGCTTTCAGCATTTTGTAAATTGTGTATCTAAAGAAATTAATTTTTCAAAACGATAACACCAGCTGAGTATTGCTTTAGATTATGCAGGACAGCAGTTTTATTTTTACATGCTCTAAATGAGTAAAACCCAACTGGTGGCATTTATATGTGACCCTATAAAACCCAAGGATCACTGTTTTTGGATCTTTCCCCCACCCCTGACCATAAATAACTCAAGGGCCTGTGCTGAGATGGATACATTCATCATAAGACATGTAACATATTGCAATTACCCAACAGGGTCCCAGCAACTTTTGGAAATACAAGTAAACACTATCCCCTTGTCTTTATCTCTACTTCAAGCAAGACAAAAGTTGCTGTTTAATACTATGTTATAGGGGGCTTCTCTTGTTTCCCCTCCATCTCTTCTGTTAGAGACTCCACAGAAGAAGCTCATACACCAGATAAGGTTGTCTGCTTAAACAAATTACTTTTGATGGACTCTTTCATGAGTTTCACTATGCATTGTATACAAATGTGATCATAGTAAACCTAATAAGACTAGAGCTAGCAACTCACAGGATTCAGTAGGTTGCATAATTCTGTCCAGTGTTCTCTTTACCTCTGGTTATATAGTGATATAAAAAGCAAAACTCTGTTCCACTCTTTTCTGTCTTGTAGACTATAATGGGGTGGTTGCAGTGGATGTGACGTCTGGTGAAGGGAAGCTTTTCTATATCTCCATTTTTATAGGCAGCTCATTATCAGCTCATGCAGTTTAGAGAAGATATGTGATTGGTTTAAGGTTAATGTTAAACTCTACTGGGGTTTTTAATTTGCATATGCAAAGTACAGCAACCATTGAGGGTTTTCATTTTTTCCTTATTTGACTAAAGTAAAAACATTGCAGAGCCAGGAGAACTATGGGGTCAGTGTTTTTCCCCATAGTTCTCCTTAGGGTAACGGAGGACAGAAACTCGCGGTATACTGAGACACCGCAGCCGGTGCGGATCCCGACCTGGACGTCTGGATCCGCCCAGCTGCGTGAGTGACAGCTGGCTCTGCCTACCTTGAGGCAGAGCCAGCTGTACCCGCCCCCTCCCCCATCCGTTCTGCCACTCAGCGCTGGCAGATCGGAGCGGGGAGAGGGGAATCCAGCCCCTCCCCCTGTCACGGCAGAGAGCCGTGACAGGATCGAGAGGTGAGCGAACCCGGTATGTGTTCGCTCACCTCCCGTTCTACTGAGCCGACCTGTGACAGTCTCTTTGTCACAGGTCGGCTAGAACTATGAGGTGACTGGAAATCATTCATCTCATAGTTCTCCTTTTAAATACTGTAACATGACCATTGAGGAAATTGATTCCCCTCGTGATCCCACAATAGAAGAAGTATAAAGCATTGTGACCTGCATTTTACCTCTGCGCTGGCCAGTATGTCCTATAAAAAGTGTACAGAAAGAGCAATAAATGTAAAACAATGTTTCGGTCTGATTCAAATACACTCAGTGCACTTGTTTGCACTGAGTAACAAGAAACTCTTTATCCTTGTAAGAAACTCAGTTTGTTTATTCTTGCAAGAATGCAGAGTTGCCTGTACCTTATGGTGAGCAAACAAGTGCTTTAAGTGACATTTGAAGTCTTATAAGTAGTTTTATATAGAATAGAAATGATCACATTTGTTTTGGCTTACTGCAGTTTGCACCATGTAATTTCCTATTTCACCTTTTACATAAATGCATATATTCTTATCTTGAACATGTTGGTTGCTTTGTTTCTAAATAAGCCAATATACAATAATGTAAGGCCTCATAGAAATTTTGGGTTAGTTGCCCACCATTGCTGTGTGCAGTTGCCAGTTATTTAAGATTTCTAGAAGACTGTGCGAGACGCATGGATTTGTGTTGCTGTACAATGCAACCACGTCCTTCTTGTTTTGCCTGATTTTATACTTTGTGTCCTTATGTGATCCATAGTCACAGCTTTGTGTGATGGCAATCCTGCTGAAATATGCACACAAATGATTTTAGTTTTGTAAAGCTTAGTTAAAGGAAATGTGTATTGAATGGGCGCTTCCATTGCTGATTTGTTTTGGTGTAGGTTTCCTTTAACCTAGCTTCCCAAAAATGGTGGCCTATATGTTCAAAATTATCTTGGCAATGGCACACCCTTATTTTTTAAGAGCAAAGCTCAGGGGCTGTCATTGTGGTCCTGGATTTATTACCTAGCAAGTCAGCGACCAGAAACAAGCATTCAGAATAGAAGTTTTAGACTTTTTCAACCTTCAATAACTTGCATTCTTCTAGGTTTGTAACTGTGTAATGAACTCGAGATGAGGATGCCTGCGCCTTAAAGAAAAAAAAAATGCAAGATGGAAGGCTTCATATTGCTTCCCTCACTGGTTCATGTTTTATCTGAAGTATATGTGTATAGCCAAAACATTAAATAAGTTTTGGATACAGTAGGGAAGGGTTAGAACTAGGGATGCACCGACACTGAGCATTCCGGCACGTACTTGTATTCTCCCAAATGCTCCGATACTTACCCCGATACCAAAACTTCTGGTCAGAGGGAGATTACCCCTGACCGGCAGTGCCACGAGGGAGCATGGAGCCAGCTTCCTGGCCAATCAGGAAGCTGGGTGGTGGGTCATTACCTGCCTCCTGGCTTCCTGATTGGCTAGGAAGCCAGCTTTGCGCTGTCTAATGACACAGCGAGGCAGCCTTTCTTCCTGACCAATCAGGGAGCATGAAGCCGGTGCTCTTTCAACAGAACACCAGCTTTTTTATTAGCTGGCACTCCGGGTCCATGCTACCTCGGGATGCCGGCATCGGTACTCACGATTGGCGAGTACTGAAAAAAAAAAATAGTACTCGATAGCGGAAAAAACAGTATCGGTGCATCCCTAGTAAGAACCTCTGTCACTTTTTTTTTTTTTTTAGTGTGATCTATGTCCCTAGTTTTATTTGTCCTGCTAATCATTGTCTTTGAGACTGAAAGTGATGAGAAATCCATAATTGTGCGGTTGTCAGCAGAGCAAGAAGTGAGGATAACTCTTCCAATGGGGACACCACGTCTGGTGACAGCTAAGATTTTCATTTTATGTCTTTACGAAACTTTAAAAAGACTCCATCCTAAAAACCCCTTTTATTTAAAGAAATACACTCTTCAAATAGTAGTAATGGGATTTCTTTTTCTGTGCAGCTACTCGCAGCTTCTGACAGTCTGTGAACCAAGCTGCATGGCTGTTTTTCCTGGAGTGCAGACAAGTTTTTTTTTTTTTATTGCAGCCATTCAAAACGTGTGTGTGTGTTGCCTAAACGCCTCCAAACTAACATGTGCCTGAAATATGATGCCATCAGAGCTGCAGATAGGGGGATTTGTGCATGATTGCGTATATCCTAACCTGTACCTGACGGAGTCTTTTGTTGTCCTCAGTTGTCTCCCTGGTCTTATGCTGTCCATTTGAATGTATGTAGGCTTGCCATTTCCTCTGACTCTGTGGTACCCACTAATATGCCCATCAAGGCACAATACGGGTAGTGCTTAACAAATTAAGTTATACTGAGCGTTGGTATCACCTGAGCATGCTTGCCATTTTTTATTTTTTGCATAGTGCAATAATTCCTTGTGCTTACAGCATCTAAAAGGCACAGCATGTTTTTACATGAATATGAATCATCTTTTCTAATCATTTTGACATAGTCTGATGTTTTAACTTTGCTGCAATTTATTTATATTCTGTGTTTTCACTCTGTCATAATCTACTTCAGCTTGTCCTTTGCACGGAAATGCATGAAAGGAAGCTAAGTGCACAAAGTTTTATATTTATATATGTAAAGCCCTTTGCGCTTATAAGCAAATTCTGATAACGTCAAGAAATCACTACAGGAAGCAGCTATTTGCTTTTGTGGTTATCTCAATTTCTGCAGTTCAACAGCTGAACAATATAGTCAAAAATACTGCATCAGTATTAATCAACTGGCCAGTGTGTAAGCTCAACTGTGTAAACTAATGTAGAATAAAAAAAACCATGAAATTCACAAATGTTTTAAGTTTCATTCAGTCCCGCCTCGGAGTCAGCAGGAAGTGTTAGGAAGCAAGGGGCACTTCATTGGGAACAGTAGTAGTATTGGGAGAGTAAAATATACTCTTCCCAATATTTAGAGCCGGCCTGTGACACCACAACTGTCTCATGCTGGCTCTGAATACCGAGAGTTGTGCGATCACTCGGCTCAAGGCTTCTCTATGCAGAGAGCGGTGACTGTCAGTCATGACTCCCTGCAGGGATCCCCCCCCCCTCCGTTCCTTCAATGCTCATTGGATGAACAGACAGGGAAGGAGGCGGGCACAGCTGGCTCTGGCTCTAGAGAGGCAGAACTGGTTGTCATTCAGGCAGTAGGATGAATCCTGACAATATTGATGAGACTCTTCCTGGTTGCAGAGTGGCCTTGCGCTGCCTGCTATAGGCTGACTTTGGGGTCACGGGAGTATGTTAGTAAATATACTCCAGTGACCCAAAAGAGAAGTAAAGCCAAAAATAATAAAAACACACACTACATTTTCAACTATTTTCATCTTGCTTTTATGCAGACCACCAATAGCACTTTACCCATTTAAACATTTTCAACATCCAGCAAGAGATCTCATCCACTGTGTTGGCCATTTCAGATCCTCTGGTGCAGAAACTGATGTGCAGGTGCCATGTACATTGTAAAATACTTTGCATTATATTGGCACTATGTATACAGAGAAGGTTTCTAAAAAGTACGTGTAACTTTTGTCACTGAATTTTTATTCTATAATTTATCCACTGGGTGTCAGTGTTCTCTTCACAATTTTCAAATCTTTGCAGAAGTACTCACTCATTCAAGTAGCATGTATATAAAATATAAATACATTCAGAATGCTAAACCATTTGCACTAATCTGCATTTCAGTAGAATTTAAAAACTAGGATGTTAATAACAATACAAACACCAACTAACTTACCAGCAGCTTTCTAATTTAGGGGTTGTCTAAAGACAAACACGTGAATTACAGAGATGAACATAAATGTCCATATACATGAGTAACAGCATTGTATACAAGAAAGTATCTTTATGTTGATGTGTTTATCAGCCACAAGAGGCTTTTATTCCCATTTGTGTGGGGTATTGGTGTGTATTGTAGGATTTTAAAGTATTGTGTGGCTGCAGTTCATATGTTGTGATCAGAACCCAAGCGAGCCAAATTAGTAATTATGTTAAGTTTGGTTGTTCTAAAGGATCTTCTCTCAGATATTATGGACACTGACACACTGTAACATACACACATAAATGACAATATCACAATGATAATCTTGACCAAAAGATCTATCAGAAATGGGTATATAGAACAATATGCTGGAAATGGCATTGCAAAGAATAGTGAGGCAATGGGACAAATGTAGATACATTGAGGGGAATTTATCAAAACTGGAGCAGACAGAATCTGGAGCAGTTGTAACCAATCAGCGTCTATTTTAGTTTATTAAGCTTTGAAAATGAAAGAAGCTGATTGGTTGCCATGGGCAGCTGCTCCAGATTCTGCCTGCTCCAGGTTTTATAAATTTCCCAAGTGTATATCTTTAAAAATGCTGCAAATTCAGAAGAATAATTGTTGACTTCCCAGAAATCCAGCGAGCTCCTAACATCCTGTATTGAGATGACAGCACTGTCTCTGTTGCACCATGTGTCAGCCTGCTCCTCTGTCGACTACAGAACACCTACTCTTTGTTTGAGATGGGGAGCTGTTCTATAGTTCAGCAAGGGAGAACACAGGCTGCACTGACAACCCCACTTGGAATTTTAGTACAATATTGGAAGCATTGTTGGTTAGCAACAGGAGATTAGGAGCTCACAGGATTTCTAGCAGAATTTTACTGATATTTTATTGTGCTTACAATATTTTTAAAGAGACAAAAGATTGGGAAAGGTTCATGTATTAAAGAGCTACTGAATATTATTATTTTTGACCTTACGTTGTGTCCACATGTTTGTGTGCAGTAAAGATATATCTTGCATATGACTGTTTGCATTATTCACTTGGTGTAGAATTATAAGGATAAGTGAAGTGTGCTTGTCTGTTTAAAAAAGATGTTAACATTCCCCTGCAAATACCATTCCCCATCCCCAGCTTGCCAGCATAGTGCATCAGGAAAATGTTCATATCTAAGCATACCAAATCATCCATAACATGCCACTGTACTGTTCTTTTTACCATATTGCCTTTGTGTTTATTTAATTGTTTTGGTTTTTAACACCTTATTTCTTTTTTCTATCACAACAGAACCAGATAAACAGCAACCATCTGAGAAGAGCTGAGCTAGAGGTCAAAGGCTTACAAGCTAAGGTGCAATGTCTGTCAGTACAAAACAAGACTCTGCTAACTCAGCTGTCTGAAGCAAAGCGCAAGCAAGCAGAAATTGAATGCAAGGTAATATGATTGTTAGGTTTATGATTGTGGTATTTAGCAAAAGATCTAGAACCACCAGAACATGCATTTCAGAGATGTAAGTTTGCCATGTGTATACATTAAACTGCAGCCACAGACTGTTTCCTTTTCCTTTTTTTCAATGTGAGATTTCTCCTTGTTCTCTATTCTGATAACAGATAAAGCACTGATGGAGACTCACAGTAAAGATCCCTGTGCAAATAATTAGAGTAGACCTACGCTTGATGCTCTTCATTTTCATCTATACTTTTGTGATTCCATTTGTCTTTGTATCAGCTGGCTGAGGTCTGACACAGTCTGGAATTCATGGGGCACTTGTGGATGTTGTACCCACAATGAGCGTTAGTCCTTTTGTTCCTGTTTGCTGCCTCGTCTTACTATGTGATACCCCATTTGCTCCAGTCTTCTGTTGTTGGCATTGCTTCCTCTACTAAGCCAACATCAGATATCCCTTCTCAATGACAAAGCTCTGAAAGGTTAAATGCATGTTTGATTAGGAATTTTACATTGTGTTTGTCCCTACAGCGTCTAAAAAAAAAATATGCCGAACGGGCCGTGTGTGCGCACACTGCCCGTTTGCAGTGATCGGAAGCCCGCCCCTAAGCGGGGCGGCTTTCGGTGATCGCAAGTACGATCTGCCTGTCCAAGATGGGCAGATTGTACGAGCTTTTAATAAGCTTATGACCATCGCAAGACAAAAGTCTTGCGATGGTCGTAAGGTGTATGGGCACCTTTTAGACAAGTTCTCTTTTCAAGCAGCATGGTCTGCAGCCTCCCAGTTGTGTAAGGACCCATTGACACCTGCAAATGGGGCTGATCGCATGAGTCTCCTGAATTCCTCTGAGACTCTTGTGATCTCCTCCTGTGGGCAAGAGGTGCTGTAGAATACAATGACAACTGCCACCACCCGCATTTCTTTGCAAGAAATTGCATAGGCTGTGATTACCTGTTGATATCCACAGCTGGACACAGACTGTTTGCATCCTGGTAAAAGTGTCCGCAGGTAATCACGACTGTGGGTGGTGGCAGCTGTTGTATTATACAGCGCCTCCCACCTGCCCGCAGCAGATCACATGAGTTGCAAGGAGGAATTTGTGAAACTCATGCGATCGGCCTCATTCACAGGTGTAAATGGGGCCTAAACTGGTGTCCCAACAAAAAAACATTGCCTGCAATAATGACTCCAAAATGCATGAAATTGATTTAGTGCAAGCATCCTATGTGATGAAAAAGCATAGTAGTATGCAGGTGCCCCAAGCTGTCTGCTTTTCATGCTTTTTTCCTCTTGCCGGTGCCTGTACCAGAATACCTGAACGGAGCCAGCAGCTCTGTTTGGCTGAGAATTTTCCAGCCGCTCCTGTGATCCGCTATTCAAGGGATGCCAAGTGGAGGAGTGCAGAGAGCAGCACCCACAATAGGAATTTTGGCCAGGTCACCAGGAAATTCGAACTGTGTGTACCCGACTTTAGTCCCTGACCTACCTCCTTTAGATAAATACTGGAGAAAGTGATTGCGAGTGTCTCACCAGCACAACAAAAAAGTGTGTGTGTAAGTGCCAATTACCACCTATATTAACACATGCTTTACCGCTCTCTGCACGTCTTTAACCTCTTGCCGTCCGCCCGTAGTAAAAAAACGGACGGACGGCACTGCTGCATTTGCGGGTTGCAGTCTCCAGACGGCAATTATTTTCTGCTCGCGCGTGCCCCCTAGCAAGCACGCGCGGGCAGAAAAGACCCGACGATTAAACACACCCGTTACCGGGTGTTTGACATATAGGCGATCAGCAGGTCCATAGCCCGCCGATCGCCTATATGTGCTCGCTCCCGGGATCCGCTGCCCTATCTTGAATCCCGGGAAGCGGATGTCAACTGGTTAAACAGTGCACTGCTGCAATGTATTTTGGCAGTTGTAGTTTTAAAGCAGTCATTATGTAAACTCCACTACTGCATTTTTTTCTAACCGGTTTAATGCACAAGGGAATCATAGGAGCCAATTTTTAACTATGAAAATAAATGCATGACTATATTTTTAAATAGATTCATAATTGTTACTATTTAGACAATTCTCGCAATTTCACTTCCTGTCCTGTAGACTTGGCAGCAAATGGGAGCATATCTCTGTGAGGCAACTTCCCTCTTAGACAGTTGTCACTGGAGCAAGCGTCTTCCTCTGAAGATTTCCCTTTTTACCTGTTCTGATGGCAAAATGTGGCATTTACTCCCGCAGCTAGAGAGAGTGCATCTCCCTAAAGAAGTCGCAGACAGCAAAAAAAAATACAAAAAATTGGCACGAGTTGTACTGCCTCACTACTTTATCTAAAAAAAAAAAATGTTGTGCTTAAACTGGCCGTACACTAATCGATAAAAATCTAACAAATTCTTCCATCCACGCTGTTTAATGTGGATGGATGAATCTCCCCTGTGGCTGTTGTATTCTCACAGCCGACATCTGCCACAATACATGATCAGTGATTGGAGCAAAATGTTCACCTGGCTCCTTCAACAAGTTGATTGAGTAAACAACTTTTGGCGAGCTGCCAGGGCCACACACTGTCAAAATTATGGTCGGTTCCTGTTATTCCTTTAAACAGTAGAAAATACAAATCTACAATATTGACTGTTGGCAAAGAAGTTATCCTTTCCAATCATTCCTGCCATATAGTCCCTAAGAAGTAAAGGTCAGTGTGCCATTTCCCCTAAAACAAAATTCTGGAATCTTCCATTTCTGCAAGCTACAGAAAGAATTGAAGGATGATGCATTGTTTGTCACACCCAGCTTTTATGAGGAGTTAAACTAGAGACCTCTCCCTGACCTGTATGCATGAAAGGATAGCAAGCAGGAAATGTGAAACGGAGTATTAATAAAAACCTAATTTGCATGTGGAGATTTTTTGTAATGTATCAAAGCAGGAGTAAATGAATGTATTTCGTAAATGAGCAGCAGCAAATATTGTAAACAATTTGAAGCAAGTGAATAGGATTGGGAAAGTGTGCGTATGTAATATATATAGATATAGATATATACATACATACCGTATATATACACACTACTACTAAGTTATAGGCACTGAATATTTATCATTGTCAATTCTTTTCTTCCATACAAGTTCTCAGGTGAAAGACTTCTAAAGCTCTAAATTTTACTTTTGCAAATAGAGAAATAATGCAATAAGATGTTTGTGTCCTTTTAAAGAAATGCTTGTTAGCATTGATGGAGGAAACGTGTTATATTTTATTCATTTAGCCTTCAATGAATATCGGTGTATGACCAGCTTTAGGCTGCAAAAGATGTATTTGATGTGCCATGGCTGTACCTACTCCCAATACTGTACAGAGTATGTCCTGGCATTCAAAGAAACAAGTTATCCGCTTCATTCATACAAGCTCCTGTCTGCAGTTTCAACATGTGGCCCGATGGCAAACTGTAGCGGTGATCTGCATGGCTGCAAAACCACTCAATGGCTTCTATACACTTAAAGATGTGTCTAGATTAGTTATAATATAATATCTTTTGGGGTCAGCATTGTTGAATATAAACCTGCAGTAGCAAGATCCCCTGCTTTAATGCAGCTTTCTACAGTTGTTTTGGAGTTTGCCAACCTGTTGTTTTTTCCGCTACCTATTTTTTATCAGCAGTAGGAGATATTGTAAAAAGGTAAAATGTTTTCTGCAGTCTCAGCCTTTTCTGTAACACTATGACCTGGCCTTGCACTTAGGCCCGCTTATGCAGTTATCTATATTGCTGATACCCTGACTATTTTTTCCTTTTCTTTACTGTAGTAGAAATCTATTTTGGTTGATCAGGTAACGAAAGTACTAGTTACATGATATAGCTGCATGATCATTCTTGATAGTACAACTCTTTAGATGTGTTGAGTAAAAGTCTTATTGCCCAGCCAAGGTTCAGGAATTGGTATTGCACTTTTTTTGGGTTGTAGAATCAAATCAAGATCTTTTGTCAACATTGTGGTAAGCTAGAAGTAATGAAATGAAAGCAAAAACATGAAAGTGGAAAGAGAGATATGATTCATTGCTGGGTGTTAATTTAGTTGACTGTAATAAGGCATCGCTTCTTATCTTTGGGGTGGAAAGTTTTTACAGTCATACTGAATAAACTCTATTCTGATAGAAAAAAAACACTGCAGCTACAAACAAAAATAGAAATTCTAGTTTAAACTACACATCAGAGTTCTTGTATATTTAAACATGACTTCTTCTTAAGTGGGTCTACTGCGTCCTTGTTGCTTTCTTGTTTCCAGTTCCATATACTGAGTCATCTTCAGATTTGATAAGCTGTCACTTTACTTATAGAATACCTCATATGACCCGTTCATATTGGCCATGACCTCTGAGTATTTTTTGTTACTGGAAGAGCTTATTCGCAAACTAAAACTTGACGAAATGGCTAATTTCTTCATTTTATTAGGTTCAGTTGCAATGTTGTGAATGGAAAAAAAAAATCCTCTGCCGAATTTAAAGCCCAATTACAGGATAATTTTGTCCTACCTCTCGCATATACTGCAAAGGTTTATTTTGTTACCGTTGAAACAAGTTATACTTGCATAATTCCTCCCTCCAGGTTCCTCACCGGGGCTGTTGCTGCATGTGGCAAACTGCTCATTCAGTACTGTAGATGGTCCCCCTCTGGCTCTTCCTCTACCATCCCCTTGCTTTGACGTCATTCCTCTTTTGGATCCTGAGAGGAGCTGCTGCTGGACAGCCAATAGAACGTTTCCATGTCACAAAGGCAGTGACCATGGACATATGTAGAAGGACCCCACAGAAAGTAAACAAAGGAAGATGGAAAACTCGAGACTTGAGTGTCATGTGACTTCGGCTTTAGGTAAGTAAAAAGGACATTTAAGTTTTATTCCATCTAGTGACCAGTTAGAGGAGGATGGGAGGGTGGGAGCCGGGTGGAAATCCTGCAGATGGGTTGTAAATCCCTACATGTTGTAATATTGAAAGCCTTGCTCTGCT